CGATGGGGAAAGAGAGACCCAGCCCGAGCGAGAGGGAGGGGAGGGGAGGGGAGGGGGCCCGGACGACCCGTGGACTAGGCAGGCAGGCTGGACTGGACTGGAGTGTATCTAGCGCGCCGGTTCCACCGCTCCCCGGCACCGGGTCGGGTCGGGTCGGGATCGGGGTCGGGTGGGAAATGCAGTTTTTTTTTTTTTGAGGATCGGGAAATGCAGTTTTGGTGCTTCCAGACAGTGAAAGCTGCGATGGATGGACGGACGGATCACGGATCGCGGCACGTGAGCGAGATCTCCCTGCTTCTTCTCTCTGGTGCAACGCAAGCACGTGCCCTGGCGCTTGAGTAATGCCTGCACACACTTGAGGCAAGTCGTCGATAAAGAGTACCCCCGTGGACAGGGGTAGAATAATTAATAAGGGCTTCTTTGGATCACGGGATTTGCAAAACAAAGGAATAGGAAAAATGAAGGATTTGATTGGCATGACATAGCCAATCCTGTGGATTTTTTCCAGAGGTCAGACCTCATGTGTAAATTCCTTTGGAATCAGCACCTTGAAGACCCAATCCTGAGGAATTTTAATGGCCCAATCCTTTGATCCAAATGCGTTTCATAGAAAACAATCCTGAAGATTGATATCCCATGAAAATCCTGTGAAAATCCTCCAATCCAAAGAAGGCCTAATGGACCGAGTACATGTGTTAGGTGGGCTCCTACTGTCCTCCAGTGTCATTTTTCAAGGTGGGATTACCTAACAAAAGAATGGCATTGGTCTCTGCCTGATCAAAGTTTTACTATTGGCTGATGCCCATGAGGGTTTAAGTTCTAGACTTAACACGTATTGTTCTGAACTTTATTTTAGACATTCTGATGATGTGCGTTCAGTGAAAGAAGACGTTCCCGTTGACTACAAAGGCGTCTATGGCGACTTCGTCAATCTAAAGATAACGTGACGGTTCAATCTTTGGAATGCGCTCATTGGGGTAGGGTGTGCATGCATGCCTTCATAGGGTAAATGTGTCTATATTTTTTTTTCTAACAAATTACTATCAATACTATCATTTACACAAACTTAATACAACCCCAAAAAATTGTGCCTCGGCACCGCTTCCTTCGTTGCCATTGTGGTATAACACATTTTTTTTATCTTTTTTCTCGAAAAGGATCCAGATCTTTTGAGACCATCAAACGACCACTATCGTCGTCAGAACAAGTCGTCGTCGGTTCGTTGTCGTCGCTCCTCTGTTGGAGCCGGTTTGATGACCAGCATTCTAGAGCCGCGGTCGTCGCTGTTGAACCCTTGAATAGATCTGAATCACCTGACATCAAATCTCACCACATGACGAGAAACCCCTCACCACCCCAAGAAAATGGCAGGAATCTACGTTGGAGTTTCGCCAACTACGTTTAAATGGATAAACCCAAGAAGGATCAGAGTCCGAAAAACAAATTCGAAGAAGAAACACTGTCATCTACCTGAGCGTCGCACCTGCATGGAATAGAAAACCTAACATAAACTACTACTTAAACAGGAGCGGAGCCACCGGGATTCCTCTCCCGCTACTGGTCACAAGAGCGGTAGGCAAAGGGGGAGGTATCCACATGCTTACATCGCCACGCATCCACGTACATGCCCATCCCGGGTTCAATTAGGTTCTTAGCATAAGTCAGCGACAGAGAACTAAAATGAAGGAGAGAAGAATCGATATTGAATGGTTCCATGCATGCAGCTGGCCGGTGTGCCCGGCTGCCATGACGCTGATCAATCAGACGTCACTTTTTTTTTGAATTTTCAACCGGGGGGGGGGGAGTAATCGCCCCCACCTGAATTGTATTCTTTTATTGCCTATAGACTTTGCAGCCTAATACAAGATAGGGTTCAAGTAAACCAAAAGTACAGGGGGGCACAGGAAGGAGAAATAAAAGCAAAAACAACACATGGTGAGGGGGGACACAACACAACAGGGGGCACCACGGGCGCTCGAACTGCAGCGGCGGGCCAAGACTAAACCATGACACTGCACCGTCGACGCAATCGAGAAGCACCGGGCAACCGAGACTGCACAACGCCGCGACACCACCTGCGTCATGGGGTACATTCGAACGGTCACGCCGGGCCGAGACGACGCCACGGCACCTGTGTGCCACCGGCGTAGTCGAAGGGCATCACCAAGCATAGAACTCCACAAGGCACACCCAAGACATCACAAGACCGGGGGATGAAGACAGCGCCATCAAGATGGAAACAACGGGAAGCGTCGCCGTTGTCTCGGCCAGCAGCAGCTGGCCGACCATGGATTTCTCCCAAACCCCGGCCACATCCTCCTCCGAGGAGACGCAGAGCAACCGCCAATAGCGCCAAGCAGCACTGGGATGGACGGCCCCAGATCCGGGCGAATCCAACCGGCAGCGACGCCGGCAGGCACCCTTGACGCCGAGAGCCACCAGTGAGGACCACTGGTGCGGCGCCCCCTGCAGGTGAAGCCACGAGACAGTGACAACCCATCGGGGGATCTGGGAGGTGGAGGGCTCCCAAGGCAGAGAGCCACGACGCCACCTTCGTTTGGCGAGCCCGCAGAGGAGCACGACGACAACAGAACGAGCAGTGGCGGAGGAGGAAGGAGGAGCCGCGTGGCGGAGCACGGGACGGGGCACAGGGGCAAGGCCTCCAGATCGGACACTGCCATGGCAGGCCCAACACGGGGAAGGTCGGGGACGGAGACACCCATCAACGGCAAGGCCCGGCGCGGACATGCCCGGCCAGCCGCCACGAGAGGAGAGCCGGCGCGAGCAGCGCGGCAGAGGCACGAATTGGAGGGGGAACCACCGGTCTTGGGCGCCGCCGGAGCCAGCTCGCAGTGCAGCATGGGAGGTGGTCGATGCCGACGGTGGAGAGGGACGAGATCCAACAGGGGGAGCATGCCGGAGCCGAGGCAGCCAAGCGGGATGGCGGCGGGTCCGAATCCGGCCACGGACAGCGCCCCCGAGCAGGAGGAGGGGCGGATCCGGAGGCTGGCAAGCCAGATCCGGCACGGGAAAGGGTGGGAGAGACCAGCTCTGGGCGCCCGCCATGGCCATGTCGACGAGCTTCGATTTGAATTTGAAGGAGTGGGTGGGGGTGGTCTGGACGGGAGGAACCTCGCCGCCGCTGGCTTCGCCCGGCGGCCTCCTCCGGCGACGGCGAGGAGAGAGAGTGGCGGAGAAGGGCGGAGGGTAGGTGGCGGCGGCGGCCTCCAGAGTCGCCCGAGGAGAGCGGCCCGGGAGGCTCTCTTTTCCTCAAAGATCAATCAGACGTCACTAGCTAGCTAGATGCCCATGTTTTCGATCGTGGTCACACTGAAATCCTCGATTGCCCGTAGTAGCCTAGTTGAATTAATGTAAGGTCTATCCGATTTGTTTCTGGTCAGGGGCAGTAAAAAAATCTCGATTAGACGCTGCCTCTGGACCAAGCACATACAGAGTTAAAATGTACTCCTCTGACATGTCGTTAATTAACGTCACTGGTAGAAAAAGAGGCTTCCGTCCAGCCCCATTAGTCGCGAAACTGTAGGAACCGCGACTAATGAAGTCTTTAGTCGCGGTTCGGCAGACGAACCGCGACCAAAGGCTTGGGCCAGGGCGCTCGGTGGCCAGCTGGTGCACGTGAGGGGCTTTAGTCGCGGTTGGCCAGGCCAACCGCGACTAAAGGTGCCCAAAGGCCTTTAGTCGCGGTTGGCCTGGCCAACCGCGACTAAAGCTCCTCCCCTATATATACCAGTTCAGCGCACTCACTTAGCCATTTGGTGCCACTTCTCTTCACAAGGGGGTGTAGGTTTGCTTTTGGTTCCTCTTATGCACACAAGGTGTTTGATGAAATGCCCAACAGCGTGAAACAAACATGATATGAAGTGTTGGAGCCACACTTGAGGTTCCTCCTCGATCGCGGTTAGCAACTTGAACCTTTCATGCATGTCTGTCATTGATAAAATATGCATGTGTGTTGTTCATTGTTTAATTTCTATTGTTTATAGCTAGTTACTTTAACAAATGCATGATGGTTAATTATATATTTTATATTATAATAATGCAGATGAATCGGCAATGGATGTACGGTAACCGACTCTCCCGCGAGTTCACTACGGGTTTGAAAGATTTCCTCGTAGTGGCTAATGCGAACAAGCAAAAGGGTTTTGTTATCTGTCCATGTGTTGACTGTAAGAATCAGAAGGGTTACTCTTCCTCAAGAGAAGTTCACCTGCACCTGCTTCGGCACGGTTTCATGCCAAGCTATAATTGTTGGACCAAGCATGGAGAAAGAGGGGTTATAATGGAAGAAGATGAAGAAGGGGATGATTTCATCGATGAAAGCTATCTTGCTCATTTCGGTGATACTTTCATGGAGGATGCTGAAGGTGAAGGGGAAGGTGAAGGGGCAGGTGAAGG